ATTTCGGAATAAAGTGGGAATACTTATAACTAACTTATACCGAGTTTATTTGTAACAAATTATTTTAGTATTATATTTACCTTATACTTAGGATAACTATGCTAAGTATAAATACGGAATAACCTTAGAATACGAGTGTTTTATTAGTAAGACAGAATAGCTTTAGGTTCTATTTGAAGTAATAAAATGCAAAATGAAACTTTTTATAAATGATTTATTCATGTATTTTTTATTTTTATCTGGAATTTTGTGTATATTTCTATAATGTTGCATTTTTGTATAATTTGGACATTGGATTTGTCCCGTTTGTTAATAATAAATAAATATAACAATAAATGTAAGTTCCTTTAAACATTTACGTTTTATTTCCCAAAATACATTCTTAATATGCACAGGATGACACCACTTTTAGTACTTTAGTTGTGTTCGGTTTTAGAAAAACGGAGCGGAGCGAGCAGATGCAGATTTGATATCACGTGATCACAGATCTAATTAGATCGAGTGAAAGTTATTTAACGAACGCTCGTTGAAATGTCATTTGTCAACTTGACCTGTTTTTAAATTTTTGGCGTTCTTTTGTTTTCGGTGTGTTGGATCATCAATTATATTTTTCGATAATTTTGAATATTCAGTCTGTAAAAACAGAAGTGAAGAGATATTGGTAATTATTAATGATTCCATTAGAATTATCTGACCCATCCAAGGAATAGCTAGGATAAAAAAATTTAGGGATTATCACAGTTGATTAGTTTTAATTACAAGATTTACCAGTACGGAAATGTAAACTTAAATCAATTTTGTCGAGATTACAAACACTTCTATCTGCGATGAATTTTTGTTTGGTAATTTATCATATAAATATCGTAGAATCAAGATACAAATCGGTTTCTGAAAGTTTGAAGACTCATGTAATGTTTGTTTTAAGGTACCTATTTCTTTGAAATTTTCTTATGAACATGAACATGGCTGCTGAGGAAACCGTTTTAATGTCCATTAAAATGGTTCAGGAATTAATTTTTGATGATAGTGACGATGAAACTGATGATAGTAAAGTTTTGCCAAAAGTTGATAACTTTGCAGAAGAGACTGTTCCTCGTTTTAGTGATGGGCAGTTTAAAATGCATTTTAGGATTAATCCCGATACATTTGAAGATCTTTTGCAGAAGCTTCACGATATTCAGCTTCCTCATAATGAAGAACCTAACACCAGAGGACATCCTTCCATTACTGTAGAAAAACAAACAATGGTTACTATTTGGTGTCTCCCAAATTTAGAATCCTTTAGGTATAAGATAACAAACACCATTGTTACATGTTTATTAAAATTGTATTGTGATTTTCAGATCAGTTGCTGATAGGTTTGGGATAAGCAAAAGTACATGTTGGGATGTATTGTATAGAACCTGTAGGAACTTACTTAAAGTGAATACAGCATACAAAATTATATCCTGGCCTAACAGGAATCGTGCTCGTCAAATCAGTGAACGATTTCAATATATTAATGGTTTTCCAGGTTTGCAAGAAATTCTTCAAAACAAGAATAATTTTTTTTTATTAAATATACTTGTAGGAATTATTGGAGCAATAGATGGTTCCCATATAAGAATATTAAAACTAAAAAATCACCCAAACTCGTACTGTAATAGAAAAAATTATCATTCAGTACTATTACAAGGCGTGTGCGATGATAAAATGTTGTTTTTGGATGTATATGCAGGAGAGGCAGGATCCATGCATGATTGGAGGCTATATACTAAATCGGATTTGAGTCTGAGAATAAATGATGGTTCAGCCGAAATTCCGACCAATATGCATATGATTGGAGATCTCGCATATAAATTGTCCTCCAAAATACTAATAGGTTTCAAAAACATTGGGGGACTGAATATTTATGAAAAAAATTGCAATCTAAAACTGTCACAATGTCGTGTTGTGATTGAACATTCATTTGCGTATTTGAAAGGACGGTTTCGTCGTTTGAAATCGTTAGAGACAATAAAAGTGGATTTAATCGCACTTCTTATTGTCTCAGGTTGCATTTTGCACAATATTTGCATTTTGAGGGGAGATTCACCTGAAGAACTTGTTGCCAGGCATGAATTAGAAGAGGAGAGAGAAAATGTCAATGAAGAGGCAGAAAATATTGTACAGCCAAACAATGAGGGAATACATAAACGAAATTTTATAATGCATTCATTAATTGTAGACCAGAGATTCCTTTAAATAAATAAAAAATAAAATGTCTTTGTTTTATAAATTTATATTTATTCTGTCAAACAAAACCAATCTAGGAAAATAAATAACATACTACTAATAGTTAATCAGTCGGAGCTCCAAAACTATAAAACAAACAGTAAATAAATAATATGTACGTTTTATTCAATCAGGAGATAAACTCCAAATATATAAACTAAAAACAGAAAATAAATTAACAATACTTTTGGTCAAGAAAAAGAAATAATATGTACCTTCCATACTTAATAAGATCAACTGCAAAAAAAAATATTCAAATATAAATAAATAATACTGAAATCAGTGAAAAAAAGTAGCACTACAACTACTAATTAGTTTTGCTTTTGTAAGTATTTACAAAATCCTCGAAACAATTGAGAAATCTATCCTGCCTTTGAATTTTTTCCTTATGGCGACATTCTACTGCATTGTCTGCTAGTTTTCTTTTTTTTGAAAAAGAGGACTCAAAGGTTTCACTCCCTGATGTTGATGGAGTGCTTTCACGTTTTTCCTTACTGGATGGAGGAGATTTCTGGTTTTCCTTGTCTTCATTAATCACAAGGCCAGCATTACTACTGCATGTAGCTGGTGCACAAATTTCCGGTTTATTGAATAAAATGTTGTTCATTTCATTATAAAACTCCCATTTTCTTCTATTTTTCCCCGATGTTGCGTTGTAATCTTTAATATCCTTATACGTTTTTTTAAAGACTTCCATTTGGTGTCGCATTGTTGCCATGTTACACCCACGTTCATTTGCTTGTTCAAAGAACTGGCTATCTTTGCCCAAATATGCTTTTTAATTGATTTTTGGAAATTTTCGTCATTTTCCTCAACCAACTGAATAAATATAAGAGTTGCTTCCCTAGTCCACACTTTTTTATCTATATTATCTAATTGTGTCGCAGAAGCAGATGAGGAAGGTGCAGTATTGGCTTCCGATACCTCTTTGACTGTATATGCAGTAACTGCTTTAAGGGCGTCACTTTCATCTACAAAATAACAAAGGCCAATAAATTTATTTGCGAATTATGGATAAAAATAAAAGAAAATCAAATACACATGGGAATGAAACTTACTTGAAAATGAATGGTTCAAGTTCATGTGATGGATCATCAACTGTGGATCCCCACAGTTATGATCGCACATATTGCATATGTACAAGATACTTCCAACTGCAACTTCGCTCATTTCTGGATTTATTTAAAAAATAACAATTACTTTGAACACTGTAAACAAATGTGACAAATGACAACTGAAAAATCCGTCTAATCTGCTTCTCAACTTCGAGGGAACAGATCGAATCTTTTCGCTCCCTCTGACAATTAACGAACGCGGAGCAGATCAGACGGAGCAGGTAGATGTATTTACCGAACGCTTGCGGAGCCAACAGAGCTAATCGAAATATCAGATATGTATTAACCGAACGCAACTTTTATACAATTGCGTTGACATCTAATTTATATCCTCAGCGCTAAAATAGACGTCCGAGAACATCTCAAAAGTCCGTCAAGTAAAGGTCGATTCAGACACATCAGTCACGTCTCGTCACAGTGATGGCACCGAACCGAACAATCCGTCATAAAAAATATTCTTTAATACAAATATGGCGCCGGCATTCACACTCATCAGTTGACAAACAGTTTGCCAGCTGTCAGATAGTTGATAGTTCGGTGACCAAACAGGACCGGTTCGGTGCCGTGACGATGACGTGACTGATGTGTCTGAATCGACCTTAAGATACAATTAACGTCCGCTCGGGACGTAAAATGGACGTCCATAGGACGTTCGGTGCAGCGACATTCGGACCAATATAGAACGTAAATAGGACCAAAGCGGACGTCCTTAAAGTCCGTGAGGGATGTACGTGTGCTATTAGGGCCATTACCGGAAGGAAACAAAAAATATGTTGATCAGAATAGAGAATGGTTGTCCTTTTGAAATTAAAATACAAAGAAACTTTGCAAGATTTATAATCCGAACAAAAGGAAAGGTAGGCCAGCCCTAACATTGAGTAATATATCTATGTATGAAAATGCTGTGCATAGGCAAGAGACCAGTGAATATTTTGAAAAAACAAGACATGTTTGATCTCTTGTCTTTGATACTACCCGTAGATCGTAAGTCTTTTGGCTTTGGAAGGCATTAAAACCTTACTTTATGTGAGACAAGATTATGAGCTGAATATTTAAGATGATGTTTATTTGATTTAGATAGAATGTGGAAAATGGACAAAATTAATTTGATTTTTTACTACTTATCCAACATTTTAAATATCAGTTTTCTTGTAGTTCACAATTAATTATTTATTTTTGGGCATGACGCTAGTCGACACAAAAATGCAAATTATTTATTTTTTAATTGTAGATTATTATAAATAAATCACTAATTAAAAAAAAACTAATAGAATAGATAGGAAATCGTTTGTAGCTTATTAAACGAATTATTTCTTCGTAGGGTTCATTAAACAAATTACTTATTAAAAAAACACAAATAAATAAACACAAAATTAAATTATTCTGAGTGTGCGCCATCTGATAGCGGAGTGCCAGATTAATTATTATTACTTTCTTTTTTATACTATGTTATTACTCAGTCTCCTCTCTATTTACGAGACAGTAGGTCGGGTCCAAACTCCAAATTCCAATTTTGCCAACATCGAAAAATAAAGACCAAAGTACATAAACCTATTTATTAAGTGTAAAGTTGTTTATATTATAGGTTACACATTATTTTTTAGAATTTTAGTTTTATTATAGACATAAATCAAAGATGTTCCGGGCCGTTATTAAAAGTGGAATTAAGGAGCAAAAGCTTGTACAAAGTATTTTATTGCCGAGGTAATTTTAGTTTATTTAAAAATAATATTAAATAATAATAAATATTGCATTTTCAGATGTATATCTACCTCTATAATACATAATAAGACTGTTCAAACTTCTGAAAAAGTTCAAAAACAAACTCATAGTAATGAAAGTGCTTCTTTTGTGATGAATATATTTCGTGGACAGTTAGAACCCAAACAAATGTTCCCTTATCCAAATGTTTTAAATGAAGAACAGAGAGACACACTTCAAATGATGATTGAACCAACACTACAATTTTTCGAGGTACTGTATTAAATATTACTCTTTGAATGTAAAAGCTAAACATAGTTTTATTTAAAAATATGGATATTAGAAATACATTACACTAAATATGCTAACATCACACTAATTCACAGTTTTTATTTTTATACAAAATATATTTTAAAATAAGAAAAGACTCTATAGATATTCAAATACAAGAAATCTGCTTGTGTGTGTGTGTGTGTGTGTGTGTGTGTGTGTGTGTGTGTGTGTGTGTGTGTGTGTGTGTGTGTGTGTGACATTATTTTTGTACTTTATTTATGTCAAGTTCTGAACTACAAAAAATTTATACAGCTACTTAATTAATCACTATCAATAATGTTAAATAATATTAGTTAAACCCTTTTGAAACTCATAAGAAAGTATCATGTATTGACCTTGTCCAATATCTGTGAATCTATTAAGGATGTAACAGTTCCTTATTGCAATAGTCTTGTCCTTTTGTCTATCTGTATAACAGCTGTGGACGTAAATGTTTTAGAGTCTTAAAACTTTGTATGCAACCCTATTGAATTTGAGGTCAATAGGTATATACCTCTAGGAATAATCAAAATGATGGAAAATATCTACCAAAACAACACAATAAAAGTAAAAGTAGAAGAAGAACTAACTGACCCTATTGAATCTGGCAATCGGATAAGACAGGGAGATTTCCTGAGAGTCCTTTATTGTTCAACCTGATTATGGATGAAATAATAAAAAAAAGTAAGAACTAAAAAAGGATACCAGATGGGAGAAAAACAACTTAAAATAATCTGCTATGCAGACTATGCAGTACTACTCTCTCAAAGTGAAGATGATTTACAACATATGCTGCACCAATTTAATATATTAATTTCCCCAAAAAAGACAAAATGCATAGTTATAACAGCAAATTTACTAAGATGTAAATTGGAGCTGGAAGGTCAGATACTAGAACAAGTGATGGATTTTAAATACCTGTGAAAAAATGAAAGGCAGAATTTACAAAAAGAGTCAGCAGACCAATCATGACATACTCAGCAGAAACACAACCTGACACAGACAGGACAAAAATGATGTTAGAAACAGCAGAGATGAAAAATTGATGGTAAGGTACTATGGGACAGAGTTAGAAGTACAGATATACAATATAGAGTAGAGTAGAGTAAATTTTTATTTGCATAAATTTTTAAACATAATTGAGCAAATAATGTCACATTATTAATTACAGATTAAAAAAAATATATATATATTGACATCACACATTTAAAATATATTAACATTACAAATTAAATATGCTGATCAAGGAGAAGGATAGGCCAGGCACTCCACCACAGTATACGGCTCAATGTCAACTAGGTGTTGAAAAACCTTTCTTTTAAAAGCTCTATAGTGTGTTTCCTGTTTAATGTCAGATGGTAGACTATTATAAAATTTAACACACTCATACAAAGGACTTCTCTCTGTTATAGACAATCTGTGAAGTGGCAAATTCAAATTAAGGCTTCTTGTATTATATTCATGATTGGAAAGCAGGTGATAAAACAAAGAAAAATTTTTAAAAAGGAACATAATACATTCATTATATAGATGCAAGGTGGAGAACATCAAGAACTTGGTAAGAAGTAGAAGAGTAGAATGAAACGATCATATAAGCCGAATGACAACAAATAGAGTAGTAAAGATGGCAGAAGATGGTTTCCCAATAGGAAGACAGTCAGTAGGAAGACCACAAAAACGATGGAACAACAACTTACTGGAGGCACATTGAAAAACAGACAGAGTCATGTCTACATCAAAAGGAGAAGAGAAGAAGAAGAACTAATCCTTTTGGATAATTTTTAAATTAAAATATACTAATTACAAAAACAAGGAGGTTCTTCATGTGCCTTGTCCATTCCGAACATTGGCAATCAATATGGCTATTCTGACTTTGTTTACGGCAGGTCTGAAAAGTTCAGCAGATGACAATCAGAACCATTGCCACAAGTTTTGGAGCCACAAGTGTCTTCTCCTCCCTGGATCCCTTCTGCTGTCTATTTTCCCTTGAACAATCAGCTGTAGTACTCTATATTTATTATGTCTCATAACGTGACCCAAGTATTCCAACTTTCTTTTCTTTATACTTATTCCTACCTATCTCTCTTTACCTATCCGGCGTAGTACCTCTTGGTTGGTCACATGCTCAGTCCAGGATATACGTAATATACGTCAGTAAGCCCACATTTCGAAGGCCTCTACTTTTTTCATCAATGTTGCGGTCATTGTCCACGCCTCCATTCCATATAACAAAACCGGGAATACATAACATTTCAGAAGTCGAATTTTGAGAGGTAGGGTGAGGCTTTTAGAGGTGAAAATTTGCTTCATGCTAGTGAACGATGCTCTTGCCTTTTCTACTCTTATACATATTTCCTTCGCTTGATCCCAATTTGAGTTAACTGTTGTTCCAAGTAGATGTACGAATCCACGTGTTCAATTCTTTCATTGTCTAATATCAGTTGCTGTGGTGGTTGTTGGGTTTTGCTTACTAACATCCATTTGGTTTTTGTGATATTTAGTCTGAGTCTGTATTGTGCATGTATTGTTTTTTGTATCTTACTCATTAGTATGTTATTAATTATTTCTCCATTTATCTTTATGCCTTCTGTGCTTTCCTCCAGCGCTGTCTTAAATACTTCTTCTGAGTTTATATTAAAGAGAATAGGAGACAAGATACAGCCCTGTCGTACCCCTTTCTTGATCTCAATTTTATTGGTCAATGTAGATCCTACTTTCACTTTAGCTGTTTGACCCCAATAGAGACTTGCTATTGTTCGAATGTCTCTGTAGTCGACTCCGATCTTATGGAGAACTTCAATTATCTTTTCGTGCTTTACGTTATCGAATGCTTTTGCATAATCTATAAAGCATATGTACACGTTTTTGTTCATATCTCTGCAGCGCTGGGTGAGTACCTGTAGACTAAAAAGTGCTTCTCTTGTCCCAAGAGAATTCCAAAACCCAAACTGCGAATGTCCAATGTTATCCTCGCATTTTTTGCTTATTCTGTTGTAAATAACCTTGGTGTGTGCCTTCGAAATGTGGTTAATTAGACTTATCATCCGATGTTGATCACAAGATTTTGCTTTTGGTTTTTTCGGTATGCCAACAAAAGTTGACTCTAGCCAGTCTTCAGGAAACTCCCCACTGTTATAAATATTGTTAAAGAGTCTGACAAGTGAGTCTAGAAATTGATTGTTTCGCACAGCATTTTCTATACTTTCCCTATACGTTATTGTTGCCTGGTCTTTTGTTATAAGACCCTTTATAGCATTCTCCACTTCTGATTTTAGAATAGAAGGGCCAGTATCATCATTGCTCAGTGTATACCCACTAGGACGGTCATCATTAAACAGTTGTTCCACATAAATCTCCCAGATTATAACTATTTTGTCGGGGTCTAGTTGTATATTTCCATTATCATCGCACAGCCCTTTCGATAAAATATTGTAGCTTTTCTTTGTTGTGAGTTCCTTTATCTTCTTATGCATATTGTGATAGTCGTATACCTTTTCGCACTGTTCGATTTCTTCGTATCTCTCCGAGAACCATTTCTCTTTAGTTTTTCTTATCTCAGCTCTTATTTGTCTGTGGGTTTCACGGTATTTGGCAGTATCTTTAGTTTTATATATCCGGCTCTCTTCCATCATGTCAATAATTTCTGCAGTCATCCAGTCTTTTTTTTCTCTTATCAGATAGTAAAAACTTAGTGCTTGAAGTCCTAATCTCTTCTTTAATTTCACTCCACTTTTCCAGCGGTTCATTGTTATTTTTAAGGATTTTTGATATTCCGGTATTTAAATTCTCCTGCATCTGTTGTTTAATATTATTGTTGGAAAGCTTCCTAATATCTAGCTTTTCGGGCCTGTTCTTTACATTTGGCTTTTTTAACTTTACTTCAAACTTACATACCACCGGATTGTGGTCTGATGCTACGTCCGCACTCGGGTAAGTTTTTACGGCTTTGATGGAGTTTCTAAACTTGATTGTTGCAGCGATATAATCTATTTGATTTATGATTATTTTACCAGGTGAGTCTACGGTGCGGGAGCTTAAAGAGAGTGTTAGTAAGTACTAGGTTGTGTTCTTGGCAAAATTGAACTAGACGATCTCCTCTTTCGTTTCTTTCACCAAGTCCGAAATTTCCCACTACCTTTCCTGTTTTGCCTCGTCCTACTTTCGCGTTGAAATCTCCCATTATAAGTGTTATTTTCTTTTTGGTTGCATTAATTAAGATTTCTAGTTGTTCATAGAAGTCTTCCATTATTGTTTCCTCTTTGTCAGCTGTAGATGCGTATATCTGTATTATGTTCAAATCAAATGGGGACGCATACAGCTGTAAAAGAGTCATTCGGTCTGATAGTGCAGTGTATGATTTTATTAACGATTTTAAACGAGGTGCAACGATTATTCCAACTCATTGATTGTATTTAGGGGTATCGTTACCAGAGTAGTACATTGCATGATCTAGGATATTACATTCTCCCGAGTTGGGCCAATGAGTTTCACTGATACCCATTATATCGATTTTGAGTCTCTTGACTTCTTTTACGATGTTATGTGCTTTTCCACTTTCGTACATACTTTTAACGTTCCAGGTGGCGATTTGTAAGTATCTCAATTTAGGTGTTTTACTCTTCAAAATTGTTTTATTGTTGCAAGGATTTCGCATGATGTCGACCTGGGAGGCCTTGCATTCTGAGTTTAAGTATCCTCCCTTGCCGGATCTTGACTTCCGAAGTCCATGATCAGTACAGTAACATATTCCTTATCACTACCGAAGGTGTATGGTTCCCTTTTATGGTTGTCTTATGGTATACAGCCAACCTCTAGAAATTTTCCCTTAAAGATTTTTTGTTTATGGAGACTATTTATTTCATGTCCAGTATAATTTGACCAACACAATACCAATATAACCAAAGTGTAGTAATAGTATTTTTTTTTTATTTAAACAGCTTTATGTTTTTTTAAAGAATCCC